CTCTCTCTCTCTCTCTTCCCTCCCACCCTTATAAAAGCAATGGAAAAAAATATCTTCAGGTGAAGATTAAAAATAATAATAATAAATATTAAAAAAGAAGGTTCTTTCTTAGACTAAGAAAGAAAACAAACCACCCCCTCCTCCAACCAGGCTCTCTGACATATTCTCAGTTCGTGAGGCCTTGGCCCCTTCTCACCTTTTACTTTCTCATCTGGCAAGACAGTGTGACACAATGCGAGTGAACGAAAAAACATGTGCACCCAAGGATCTCGATTTTTTACTGCATCCACCAACGTCTTGTCATAAAATGAAAACTTAGGGTCAGCCAGTCTGTTGTAGTCGAAGTTGACCTTCTCTGTTTTCTGGAACACATAAGCCAGAACAAACTTCTCAGCAGCAGCTTGACACTCTGTAAAAGGTCAATTTGGGAGCAATTTCTGTGACGGTGATAAGAATTCTTAGGAAGATGTGAAGAGAAAAGCAAGATATCTGGTTTCTAAGGCCTTTTTAGCTCTGACCTGGACCACCCATTCATTTGGGCCAGAAAAGATTCATCCCACAGGAGACAAGCTGAGCACTGCTTGGCAGACCCTTCTTATGCCCTTTCTCCCCCAGCTACCCTGAATGACCAATGGCCAGCTTCAGTCTCCACTCTTCCAAGTTCCAAATCCATGATAAACAAACCTGAGGACAGACCGGGATAACTGCGCCCTATCAGTAAATGGTATCTGGGAAAAGTGTGGTTGGTAGCTGTCCTCAGGTTTGTTTATCATGGATAAACATGTCCTTGTTTATCATGTCCTCTGCCTGATTTGGGGAGCTGGGCATAGGACTGAGTTCTGATCTCACTATGGCATCAGGTCAGTGATATCACTATGTTACATTATTCTGATTTAACGCCACAAGGAGGCTAGAGAGGAAATACTGCAAGATACAGGCAAGGCTGCATTGCAAGGACTCTTCAATACATACCACTTGTTCCAGATTTCACTTTAAACCATTTTACTTGATCTGCCAGCACACCTGACTCCTTTCTGCTTCTAACCCGCATGATCCTTGACTTTGCTTCAGTCTTTGGACTTAATATTAATGACCATTTTCCTGGCTATGACCTTGGCTCCTATAGATAGACATGCATCTCATTCTCCATTTCAGCTAGGCTGCTGGTAGGCAACTTTTTTTTTTTCTGGTTTAATTTGACTCTGGTGCTCTTTCATCCCCCGGAGTGTGATATTAACAGATTTCTCCTATCCATACTAGAACTCTCAAGGATATTTCTCCAGTTCTTTGTAGTTGTGGTACTACTTGGGCTGGGATCCAATATGTCAAATACAGACACAGTTGTCCTGCTGATACTGTGCTGGAACAAGGGGAGTTTGTAGGGAGCTCTCTGGGCTTTATTCTATATCCCACATAGAGTTTTGTCAATGCAGTAAGAAAGTATAGTCAGGTCCAATGCCAAACCCTAGACCTGGCCAACTACAGTTATAAATTCTGGGAAGTTTGTGGAATCAATAATTTAAAATAAATTATTATATAGCATCCCCTGAGGCTTTTCTAAAATTGGGTGCTTGCACTGGCACATTCTTTAAAATTAGAAGCTGGTGCGTGAGGAGAGATAAACTAAAGAGGGAGACATGAGGCTGATCTGCATTAGTATGTGAACAAGCAGTTCACAAAATAACTTTTTTTTTAATTTTTGAAAGCCCAATTTTTTTATAATATATATTTTATTGATTTTGTACAGAGGAAGGGAGAGAGATAGAGAGTTAGAAACATCGATGAGAGAGCGTCATCGATCAGCTGCCTCTTGCACACCCCCTACTGGGGATATGCCCGCAACCAAGGTACATGCCCTTGACCGGAATTGAACCCAGGACCCTTGAGTCCCCAAGCCGACACTCTATCCATTGAGCCAAACCGGTCTTGGCCACAAAATAACTTTAAATGGGCAATAAAGTGATTGGGAAGGAAAATAAACATAAAAATGATTCAGTCTGATTAATAATCAAAGAAAGGTAAATTAAATGAGATATAATTTTTCATCAATTAAATTTCTAAATATTTCAAACACTGTTAATAGCCAGTATTGACAAAGATAGGAGGAAAATGAATTTTCATATATTATATTTTGATGTAATCTATCTGAAGGGCAATATGGTAATATTAAATGAGATAAAAATGTGGCTACCCTTTGATCAACCAATTTCACTTCAAAGACTTTATTCCAAGGACATATTTAGCAGAATAGGAGACAAAAATGTGTGTATTGGGTGCTTACCACAATGCTATGTATAATAGCAAAACAAAATGGAACAAAAATAGGCCTTGGTTTAATGAAGATCTATCAATACAATTGGATACAACACTCATTCAAAATAACGATGCAGACTTTAATTTAGTGACATGGAAAGAAGACCACAATATAGTGTGAAGTGAAAAGAAAGAGGCTGAAAATAGCCTGTATGCTATGATTCTTTTCTCTTTCCCTCCCTTTCTCTCTTTCTTCTTATTTATCCCTCTATCTATCTACCATATTTAGGTTTATATGTATGTGTGTGTATATATGTGTGTGTGTGTGTGTGTGTGTGTGTGTATGAAAAGCATATGTTACATTAGTTACCTAAACAGGATTAAATGATTTTAACTTTCTTCTTCAGAGATTTCTGTATTGTTTGAATTTTTTTTTTAAGTGAGTGCAGATTTTTTTTTTTTTAACAGAAACAACCCCCTGACCAATAAAGCCATTTTCATTTTAAAACCCAAACCCAAATCTCCTCAAATAAACATAGGTCATTTATATAATGCTTTCTGATATTATGGGGCCAATAAAAGCTTTAATATTTCAGGGACTAAGGGTCTCCCAACTTGTGTTAAGATGCTACCATGTACCAAGGCCTCTCTCAGCTCCCACATGCATTTCACAGGGAACTGTAATCACTCACCTCAGAGACTTCCACCTTCTGTCCATACTTGTCATAGACAGTACCTGTTAGCATGTAAAAAGAGCAGAGAGTTGGCAAGGGTTTTAAAGAAAAGTTTAACATGGGTTTTTTGTGCGTGATAAAATATATACAATATGCCATTTTAAACACGTTTAGTGTACAATTCAGTGGCATTAATTACATTCATAATGCTGTGCAACTATCACCATATACATCCAAAACTTTTTCAGCATTCCACACAGAATCTCCCCATTCCTCCCTATTCCTAGACCTTGGTAACTTCTAATGTATTTTCTATACATTTGCCTATTCTAGAGATTCCAAAGAATCATACAATATTTTCTTTTGTGTCTGGCTTATTTCATTTAGCATAATGTTTTAAAGACCATCCATGTTGTAGCATGTGTCAGAACTTCATTACCTTTTTTTAATCATTGACTTTACTTTTTATGACTAACATTCCATTGTATGTTTTCCATTCATCTGTTGATGCACACAGGAGTTGTTTCTACTATTATGCTATTATGTATAGTACTGCAATGAACACTAATATATATCTATCTGCTTGAATTCTGTTTTCAAATTTTTGGGGTATATACCTAGGAATGAAGTGACTGGGTTACATGGTAATTTAAAGGAGGATTTTTAAAAGCTTTTTTTCTTTTGATTCTATCATCCTAGATTTGTAGTCAAGCTTCCTGGAACCCACTCAGGCCACCTAGTCCTCAGTGCTACAGTTAGCTTCCATCCTCAAGCCCACGGTAAGAAGAAGGTATCTGCTTGGGTCCCAACTCTTCTCCCTTAAGTGAGAGTGAGGGGACGCTGGAGGTTAGTCACTGGATCTATGAGAGATTCATACCTCAGGAAGCCTTCCAATCAGAAAAGTTACCCGGGAGAGATCTTAAAATAGAGCTAGAATGTTTAGGATCGAGGTCAGTCGATAGTACAGACAGAATGGGGGTGGGAGGCATTCTGAGGCCAAGCACAGAAACACCCATGATCCTTTTCAACCTTATCTAGTATATGGTATGGTCTTACAATAAGCCAGAGAAAAGGATCCTCACTCAAATCAATTCATCTAAAAATAAACCTTGTTTGACAGGGGTAATAGGAAATATTAAGAGTCCTAGCTTTCTTTCAAATTAAAAAAAATTTAATTATGTTTTAGTTGAGGAGAAATTCATGCAACACACAAATAATCATTTCAAAGTGTACGATTCAGGGGCAGTTAGTGCATTCACAGTATTGTGCACCTACCACATCTCTCCAGTTTCAAAGTTTTTTCATCATCCCAGAAGACATCCCACAGGCTCTAGCTTTTTAGATGTGATTGCCTATCTCTGCTAGTGAGTGCACTGGGCATGAATGTTCACACACGTGAAGCCTCAATACTATCACAAAAACAAGCTTATGATTAAGGTATGAAATAAACGAGGAATGGGGCATGGAAGACCCTGAGCAAACTGACTACACTTTGATGGCTCCTCCCAAGACTGTTTATTGGCCGAGGGAGAATCCGAAATTAGTAGCAACAGTAATATGCTGGTTTCTCTATCTCATTTAATATGAGAGTGAACTGATATTCGAAGCCATCAGAAATTCCTTGGGACAGAGATTAAGTTTGTACAGCTTGATATCTCCAATGTCTAACATGATAGTTTGCATCTACAAGGTACTAATTAAATACTTTTGAATAGAACCGAATGGGCTAAGTGATCTTTACATTTTATCTAGTGAACAGAGAAGGCTATGAGACTAAGAGGCCAAATGTAAATTTAGAGCTTGATTATTCTTGAAAACAATCTGCAAAGTAGTTCTTCAGGACTCAGGAAAAGCAAGAAGGCATGCATACCATATAGTTTCCCATTGATAGAACACTTGCTGAAAAGCATGATGTTCTTAGTCAGGGTCCCTGTTTTGTCTGAGAACAGGTATTTGACCTGGCCGAGCTCCTCATTGAGCGTGGTGGTACAAGCCTGTGCTGGTGTGTTCTTTGGCGCATAATACATCTTCCGATCCCAGTTGATATAGAAACTGTTGCCCAATCTTATTATCTCAACACTGAGGAGAAAGCAAGAAAAGAAGGGATCTGGATCAGAGTAGGACAACTAATACATTATCCTGGTTTCCTTACCGGTCCTGTGGCAGGCCAGAGCCAGCATCTGGAAATCATATCAGAGTATCTTCCTTGGGAACTTACAATCAGTCTTGGATCACAGTACCCTTGCCACCAGCCAGCCCATTATAATTCTGATTTTGGCCGTCATCACACAAAGCATCATCGCCTGGATCCAGAGACACCTGATCACTTTTGTTGGGGCATTTCCCTTTCCACCCTTTCTTCTTCCAAAACGTACCTGGGAAAAGTCACAAAGTTTGAACTTCTGCAGTAATGCAAGGCCTGCAAGAGCTAACTTATAAAAGGCTGCCCAGGCTTAATTAGATGATTATTGTTGCTGTCATGTAAGTCTATTGGTGGGGGAGAGAGAGAAACTTGAAACACTCAGAGCTTTGTTTTAGAAGAAGAAGGGAAGGACCAATGAAAATCAGGAACAGCTTATTGGAGCTGACCCTCTGATAAATTTCTTGATTTCCAGAAACAACCTACCTATGGGGTAGCTTCTTTCCCTAATCGCCTTCTTTTCATTTTATCTGACTTCTCCCAACCGCCTTTGTCACATTCAGAGGTAACAGAGGGGATATGAGAATAAGAGAAAAATAACATGCCTTATAGATTCTTTTTTTTTAACCTTATAGATTCTTTATGGTTAACATAAAGCATCTTCATTTTAAAACAGTGAAAACTATCAAGGAGCCTTCTTCCTACAATTATTCATACTTAATATGGGTTAGATTGCTTCATTAGCAGCCCTGTCTGAGGTGCATTGAGCAACATGGATTTTTGTTTGTTTGTTTGTTTGAGGGCATAGGTTCTCAGATCCACATTTTTTTACTCTCTTCATTTGTTGTCACCATCCCTTCCTTCACCATACCAGCCACAATCTCTCTAAACAGAAACATTTAATCTCATTATTTCTTTCCTTAGAAAGATTTTTGCTGCTTTTAGGATAAAATGCAAACTCCTTGGCTTGACAATTAAGTCTTTCCTGGATCTGATCTTAAACTATCATCTAACATCTTAGATTGTTCACTGTTCTACGACCAGATCAAGCTTTAAAAAAATCTCCAAAACTTTGTACATGCTGATATTTTTTTTTCCCAAAAAAATTTTAATGAGAAAAGTGACATTGTTTTACATTTAACAAATCTCCAGTTTCTGGCTTAATAAAAGATAGCTCCATTCCCATCTCTTTCTACATTTATTTATTTATTTTTAAATATATTTTATTGATTTTTTTTTTTTGCTCCCCTCCCTCCCTCCTAAACATACTCTCCCTCCCCAGAGTTTTATGTCCATTGGTTATACTTATATGCATGTACACAAGTCCTTCGGTTGATCTATTTATCTCCCCCAGATCTTCCTCCCCTCCCCACTATAATTTGACAGTCTGCCTGTTGCTTTACTGTCTCTATATCTGTCTCTTGGTTCATCAATTTATAATGTTCTTTATCATCCACAAATGAGTGAGGTCATGTGGTGTTTCTCTTTCATTGATTGGTTTATTTCACTCAGCATGATGTTCTCCAATTCCATCCAGGTTGCTGCAAATGATGAGAATTCCTTCTTTTTTATGGCAGCATAGTATTCCATTGTGTAGATGTACCATAGTTTTTGGATCCAATCATCTGCTGACGGGCACCTAGGCTGTTTCCAAATTCTGGCTATTGTAGATTGTACATGCTGATATTTTTGCTTGCAATATTCTTTTCCCATTTTCTGCTTGGTGCATTTTATTCTTTTTTCAATTATGATTTTTTTTACCTTTTTTTGTAAACACCTAAGCCTTTCTAGGCAGAACTAATCCATTCCTTTTTAAGGCTCCCATAGCATTCACATATGTATTTCTATGATATAATTTCTTATATTGTACCATAATTATTTATTTAAGTATCTGTTTCCATGGCTATGCTGTAAGTTTATTTAAAGGGCTGCCTTTAAAAAAAAAATCTTTTATTGATTTTTTACAGAGAGACAGGGAGAGGTATAGAGAGCTAGAAACATCAATGAGAGAGAATCACCGATCAGCTGCCTTCTGCACTCCCCCTACCGAGGATGTGCCCGCAACCAAGGTACATGCCCTTGACCGGAATCGAACCTGGGACCCTTCAGTCCGCAGGCCGACACTCTATCCACTGAGCCAAACCGGTTTTGGCTAAAGGGCTGCCTTGTTGTTAATGTTTCTTTCTCTAACACCTCGTAGTAAGTGCTCAACAAATATTTGTAATTTAATAAGATAATTTGATTATGTAGGGTGCTTTTCAGATTGGAATGTCACAATGCAGGCTTTAGGAAATCTGGAAAGAAAATGTGTTTGAGATGTGTGTATGTGAGAGGAAACGTTGAAAAGAGAAAAAAGGAAATCAGAGTAAATAGTTTAACTATTTCAATTTTTTAAAATAATAAATTTTTATTGATTTTTTTACAGAGAGGAAGGGAAAGGGAGAGTTAGAAACATCGATGAGAGAGAAATATTGATTAGCTGCCTCCTGCATACCCCCCACTGGAGATGTGCCTCCTGCATACCCCCCTCTGGGGATGTGCCCGCATCCAAGGTACATGGCCTTGACTGGAATCGAACCCAGGACCTTTCAGTCGACAGGCCAATGCTCTATCCACTGAGCCAAACCATTTCCGGCAACTATTTCAATATTTGTCCGCGGTACTAATGAAAAGGGGAGAGGAGACATTCTTCTTCTTCTCTTCTCCAACTTTTAGGAAGCAGAACTTAGTCATAATTACACCTATCTACCATTTCTATGGGAAATGGATTCTGAGTTTTGAATGACTGATTTAAATGAATAAGTTATTCAAGCTGCTAATGAATGTTTGGTCTCTATCTCATTGATAAACTAGAGGCTGCCTGGTTTATGCTTTAGCATCACACAATTTGTGTGTATTCTTTTCTATTAGTTATTTCATGTATGTGCTTGTATGTCTAATTCTGTCACTTACATTATAAGTTATTTGAGGGCAGGGCAAATTTCTTTTTGTATAAACCACACAGTATCTAGCACAGTATTCTGGACATAGAGAACATCTATGCAATCTCTAGACATGCCCCAGTGTTTTGTACAGCACACCGGGCACTGTGGAAAGTAGTGCGTTAAAGAGCGCACAGTCCATGCTTTCTAAAGGTTCTCACTATAGTTGGAGTTCGTCAGAGGCTATGAGTCAGTTCCTCCTATAAGCCAAAGAAGTGATCAAAGAAGCCTACCTGACATAGAGAGAAATGGGCACCATGGTGTTGAGAATGATGAAGTAGGACCAGAATATGAGGATGGAAGACATAAACGACGAAGAGACGTAGTCTCTCCACGGCAGGATGTCCTGGAAGGAGTAGCCTCTCTTGCTCTCCCAGATGCCGTGCCCGATGGCGAGGCTAAAACACATTAAGCCTAAAAACAGGAAAATCTAGGAAACAAAACAAGACAAAAAGAATTAACCTTTCATCCAAGGCGTATGCTACTTCAGTTCTGCTCTTCAAAGCCTTATATCTCAACAAAGCTCCTCTCTCTTCTTGAAGGGAAGCTTATGGGGGGACTGCTGCAGGACCGAAAAGAAAGCCCAGCAGGCGCTGTCCTTGGAGTTTTGAAGGGATATGATATATTAAATAATATTTAATATTTCATTACTAAAATATATTAAGTAATATTTAAGTGCCAGCAACTGTACTAAGTGTTTTACATATATTATTTTATGTAATATTTATAAAACTCCTCTTTTAATAATAGACGAGATACTTGATATTAAGAGGGGGAAACTATTTTGCCTAAAGTCACTTAGCAAACCTATCTAGGAGAGATAGGTTTGAACCAGTTCCAGAACCCAACTCCTAATCACTCCATTATTGAAGTGAGATGCTGCTTTAACAAAAGTCTAAAATGCGGGGCACTGGCTTAACAGTTGGAATTATGTAGGTGGTAAGATACTGTTATAAAAGGCTTAAATATGGCAATCACATTAATAAAGATTTTGGTAAAACTTGAAGACAGACATGCTGAGCCTATATCTTCTAAGGGAGGTGTCTAGAAAGAATTACAATATTAGTGTGTGTTGACTGCCTTTGACAAGGTATCAAAGAAAGAGCTGAACTAGGGAGATTGGCCAATTTATAAGCAGAAATGAAATAAAGGGAGAAATTTGGGTCATCAAATGATTGAAAAAGCCTATTTCTTTTAGAAAGTAAAGAGGAAGAAGTAAGATTATGATTTGAAACACACAAGTCCCAATAATTCTTTATAATTGAATTTTGCCTGGAGGCAAAGTTAAGATTAAAGATGATACCTTATTACCCAAGAGTATTGTTCTATTTTTAAAAAATATATATTTTATTGATTTTTACAGAGAGGAAAAGAGAGGGATAGAGACTTAGAAACATCGATCAGCTGCGTCCTGCACATCCCCCACTGGGGATGCGCCCACAACCAATGTGCATGCCCTTGACTGGAATCGAACCCAGGACCTTTCAGTCCGCAGGCCGACACTCTATCCACTGAGCCAAACCAGTTTTGGCAAGAGTATTGTTCTAGATAACAGCAATTTCCATGCCATTAAGTTGAGAGAGAAAGGCATAGAGGAGCATGGGAGCAAAGAAATACGATAAATTTGAGAACTATGTTTATAAAAGAACTTTGGAGAGTGGAGATAACACCCCGGAACTCCTTTACAAGGCCAGCATTACCCTGATACCAAATCCAGACAAGGACACTACAAGAAAAGAAAGCTACAGGCCACTATTCCTGATGAACATAGATGCAAAACTTCTAAACAAAATAGTAGCAAACCAAATTCAACAGCACATTAAAAAATCATATATCATGACCAAGTGGGATTTAGACATTAATGAAAGAAATTGAAGAAAATGCAAATAAATGGAAAGATATCTCATGTTCATAGACTGGAAGTGTTGATATTGTTAAAATGTCCATATTACTCAAAGATACCTATAAATTCAAATAAAATCCCCATCAAGATTATAATTTTTACAGAAATAGAAAACCAATCCTAAAATTTGTGTGGAACCACGAAAGACTCAAAATAGCCAAGGCAATCTTGACAAAGAAAAACAGAGCATTACAACTTCCTGAGTTCAAACTGTATTACAAAGCTATAGTAATCAAAACAGTATGACACTGGCACAAAAACAGCACTTCCACCCCCTACCCTGGCCCACCTGGCTCAGTGTTTAGAGTGTCAGCTCACATACAGAAGAGTTGCAGTTTGTTTTTTAAAATAAATATTTTTATTGATTTCAAAGAGAAAGGGAGAGGGAGAGAGAGAGAAACATTGACGAGAGAGAACCATTGATCGGCGCCTCCTGCACACCACCCACTGAAGATGGAGCCCGCAACCTGGGCATGTGCCCTCGACCGGAATCAAACTGGAGACCCTTTAGACCAAAGGCCAAAGCTCCATCCACTGAGCCAAACTAGCCGGGGCAAGCTTGCAGTTTTGATTCCCAGTCTAGGGCATACACCTAGGCTGCAGGTTCAATCCCTAGCCTCATTTGTGGGGAGGCAACCAATCAAATATTTCTCTCTCTCTCTCTTTCTCTCCTCCCTCCTATCCCTCTCTTCTACTCCTCTAAAATGCAATGAAAAGAATATCCTTAGGTAAGGATTAACAACAACAAAAAGAGATATTTATACCCCATGTTCATTGCAGCATTATTTACAATAGCCAAGACATGAAAACAGCCATGGCAGATTTGGCTCAGTGAATAGAGTGTCAGTTTGTGGACTGAAGGGTCACAGGTTTGATTCCGGTCAAGGGCACATGTCTGGTTTGCAGGCTTGATTCCCAGTGGGGGTGTGCAGGAGGCAGCTAATCAAGGATTCTCTCTCATCATTGATGTTTCTTTTTCTTTTCTTTTCTTTTTTTAAAGGCATAATATTTTTTAAATATATTTTATTGATTTCTTACAGAGAGGAAGGGAGAGAGATAGACAGCTAGAAACGTCGATGAAAGAGAAACATCGACCAGCTGCCTCTTGCACACCCCCTACCAGGGATGTGCCCGCAACCAATGTACATGCCCTTGACCGGAATCGAACCTGGGACCTTTCAGTCCAAAGACCAACGCTCTACCACTGAGCCAAACCGGCTTCGGCTCATCATCGATGTTTCTATCTCTCTTCCTCCCTTCCTCTCTGAAATCAATAAAAAAATATATTTTTAAAATATATTTTATTGATATTTATTTATTTATTTATTTATTTACAGACAGTAAAGGAGAGAGATAGAGAGCCAGAAACATCGATGAGAGAGAAACATCGACCAGCTGCCTCTTGCACACCCCCTACCGGGGATGTGCCCGCAACCGATGTACATGCCCTTGACTGGAATCGAACCTGGGACCTTTCAGTCTGCAGACTGATGCTCCATCCACTGAGTCAAACCGGTTTTGGCAAAAAAAAATATATTTTTTTTAAAAACATGCAAATAATCTGTGTTTATCAACAGATGAATGAATAAATAAAATGTGATGTTATATATACACATACAATGGAATATTATTCAGCTATAAAAGAAGTAAATTCTGCCATTGGTGGCAACATGGATAAACCCTGAAGGCATTATGTTACATGAAATAAATCAGACAAAGACAGATACTGTATAGCTTCACTTATCTATGAAATCTAAAAAAAAGTAAATTCATAAAAACAGAGCAGAATGGTAGATGCCAGAGGCCAGGGCTAGTTGAGGGAAAATGGGTGAAGGTAGTAAAAGAATACAAACTTTTATTTTTAAGTTTTAGGGATGTAATGTACAGTATGGTGACTACAATTAACAATCATTATGTATTTGAAAGTTGCTAAAAGAGTAGATCTTAAAAGTTCTTATCACACAAAAAAATCATAACTTTGATGTGTTAGCTGACCTTACTATGATAATCATTTCACAATATATACATATATAAAATCATTATGTGGTATACCTTAAACTTACACAATGTTATATGTCGATTATATACACTAATAAAAGAGAAACATGCAAATTGACATCATTCTGCTACACACACCAGCCAATCAGGAGGGAATATGCAAATTAGAAGGACAAGTAATATGAAAATATTATTAAAAAGTTAAAATACTTCTATATAGCCTTGACCGGTTTGGCTCAGTGGATAGAGCATCAGCCTGCGGACTGAAGGTCCCAGATTTGATTCCGGTCAAGGGCATGTACCTTGGTTGTGGGCACATCCCAGAAGGGGGTATGCAGGAGGCAGCTGATTGATGTTTCTCTCTCATCGATGTTTCTACCTCTCTATCCCTCTCCCTTCCTCTCTGTAAAAAATCAATAAAATATATTAAAAAAATAAAAATAAAGTATCTCTATACAGATATTAACTATTATCACTATGCTTAAGACAGGTAAACAAGTAGTTGAACCTTCCTATGCATATGGGAGACATTCTGTTTTGAAGACAACTTAGGCTAAATGACGTTGTTAAGTGTCCAATGATGTATGTTTCTTATATTATCAAAGGCATATTTGCCTACATCGCCTTTCTAATTTCTCAACTGTGATTGTCTTCCTCATTAAGAAACCAGAAAATGTCACTTTGTTTCAACTGCTGAAAGCTATGCAAACAGCAATAGAAAGAGAAAGATAATGAATATGAGTTTTTTATCTCAAAGCTGAATAAACTTTTCTAATTTCCTAAAACCTATTTACTAAATTCAAAGGATTTAGAAAAAGAAATGTGATATTACCCATAATAAATAACGGAGGGCAGGTAGTTATATACTTCAGATATTTATGAGAAATGTACAGAAAGAAAAGGCATTTTTGAATTTTCAGAGTCTAAGCAATAGAGTAAAATTAAAAACAAAAAGTCATATAATTAAGTATAGGTAGCACTAGAATGCCTGGTTATGCAGATAACTTCTTCATAAATCTATCTATAAATGACAAGAATAAAGGCAATCTGTATATGTAGCATGAAAATAAAGTAATTGATTAATTAATCTTCAATTTAAACCTCTTTTATCAAGGTTGATTGTTTTCTACTGTTGTGCTTTCCAAATTTAATTTCTTAGCAGCAGAATCCTCTATTTTCTAACCGAAACCTTACAGAACTGATAAACATGAAGCTGCTCTTTTTGAAGAAGGACTTTTAGAATGAAGAAGCCAGGGCAAAATTTAACTGATCACCTCTCTTCCCCCTGCAGCAGCTGTCAGACCAGGGGTGGGGAATGTCCAGCCAGCATGCCACATAAGGCCCACGAAATCATTTGGTCTGGCCCTGCCAACCCATTAGGGGTGAGTTAATTAAATGTTTGACCAAACATAGAGGCTAATTTTTAAGTTGACAATTTTGTATGGCCCACAAATGATGTTATAAATATCCAAATGGCCCTTGGCAGAAATAAGGTTCCCCACCCCTGCCTTAGATTCATCTAAGAGTTTGAAAATCATCAATTCAAGTAAGGGGATCCACTAGCCATGTAAGATTTTATGAAAGTGGTCATGAATAAGACTGGTTATAAAAAAATAAAAACACTGGTTATAAAAAAATAAAAATAATTTCGAGGCCCTTGATCCATCTTAAATAAATCATGACTATCTTCCACAACAAAGGTATATACTAGAGAATTCCTTATCAATTGGCTCTGCTCTTTTCTACTTCAGGCTTTAGTATGTATGGGTCCCAAATATTGCTTGAGACTTTCAAAGAACTAAATCCCAAGTTGGAAATACCAGCTACTCCCATGGAAGGAAGAGAAGTATGTCTATTCATAAAGAAATACAAAAAAGTCTTTAACTTACCCAGAGCACAAGGACATTCATGAGATGGTCTATTTGTGTCCGTTTAAAAGAGGTTTTTCCACTGTTCTGCATTAATTTGGTGTCTGGCCCTAAACAGGGGAACATCAGCTCTTAGAATTACTGAATATACCCAGAGGCTTGAAATTGGGTTGGAGTGTGCCTTTATGGTCATCTAATCAAACCACTTTTCAGTGCCAGGGATAAAGCTCCTTAGTAAAGCTCATAGTTGGTACAATAACTTCAAAGAATAGAAAATTTGTATCTAAGAATAACTCCAAGTATTTCTGCAAAGTAATTTTTCACAGATAAGCTGAGTCAGAATAAAAGCCATAGCTTCTCTCTCATTACCACCTACTTTATTTAGCTTAGAAAAAGGGATTTTATGATAAGGAGATTTTTATTTTTAGAAAACCCACCACTGAACCAAGTTTTATTTAAAGTTTCTAACTAAGAGAGGGAGAAAGGAAAAGGCAACTATTTCTTTTTTTTTTTTTTTAATATATATTTTATTGATTTTACACAGAGAGGAAGGGAGAGAGATAGAGAGTTAGAAACATCGATGAGAGAGAGTCATCGATCAGCTGCCTCTTGCACACTCCCTACTGGGGATATGCCCACAACCAAGGTATATGCTCTTGACCGGAATCGAACCAGGGACCTTTCAGTCCCCAAGCCGACGCTCTATCCATTGAGCCAAACCAGTTTCGGTAAAAGGCAACTATTTCTGAGATGGAATCTGGGGATTTGAGGCTTCTTTGGAGCTGAGACAGAAAGTCCACATTTCTTCAGGACATGGCAGATAGTAAGCAGAATTAAAAAGCTTTTAATGACCACAGGCACTAGAATTGGATATGACTGGGTATTGGATATTACTGGATATGAATTGGATATTACTAGAGAGATATGGTTGCAGAGAAAACGTAAGAGGTTTAGAAGAAAGTAGAAGCAGCAATTTCTCTGGCCTTCTACCATCTGATTATTAGCCTTATACTTAATCTATTAAAGAAATTTCATCAACGTTTACATATGAGGGAGTGGAAACTTCCCTTGTATGTGGACAAGCTTATGCAGTACATAAGCGATGCCATTCTTTCCTCTTAAGCATTCCTTGAAGGACTGGAACTAATGAGAAGTTGGCTGAGAGACTGATAGCTACAAAGGACAGTATCTTCCAAGGGTTTGTAGAAAGACTGACCCCCCCTCCACCCCTAGGCTCAAGAGGAGTGTGGAGATCACAGTAGAACTTACACATCAATGTAGCAGGAACAGCAATGCAATTCTGCCCTGCGTACCTTGAGAGACTCTAGGTGGCATCAGTGCTTCTCTGTTCTGAACTTCCCAAAGTCCCCAGAGATTTTTCACTATCATGCAACCAAGAGTCAGAGGGAAATCTTAACTAGATTTGTGCTGGTTGGCAACTTCGCTGCTGTTGCTTTAAGGAAAAAAACATTTTGTTGAAAATGAGCTTTTTAGGCATAGTAATATGTGTGGGTATAGTTAAGTACAGTGAAAAAAATAAGTCTATAAATCTTTTGAGTTTGGGACTAGGTGGCCTAGAAGCTGCCACTTATAGGTCAAGAATCAATGAAGACAGTTCCCCCAAGGCCTCCGTGGACTCTTAAGCTTCTCTCTAGAGCTTGGCTCCCATTATTTTCCACAGAAGTGAGGCATCTAGGATCCCCAGTCTAGGAGTAAATTCTCTAGAAGGGGAGCTCTGAGTTGAGTAGAATTCACTGTAGTAAATTTTCCTTGATGCTGCCTTCAGAATGCTATCTTACTATGGTTGTTGTCAGCAATGCCCACCGTCACTGAGGGCACAGAGTAGCACAGAAGGTTCCTCCATTTTCCTGAACCATATCACAATCCGAGAAAATCCTTCATTAAGTATAAGGGATTAGCTCCTAAATGACATCTCAAGAGAGGCCACTGATAACGATCCACATGTGCCTTTTCTTTGGCATGAACCCTTCACATTAGAGTTTACATTCTCCTCCATAATGAGCTGTGTTTATTCTCTCCTCAGGGGAGTCGTCCACATGTATACTCTCCCCTTTTACAAGTTCCCCCTTCGTAGGCCATTTCTACGTGTACTTCTATATGTATTCCTTCTCTTGTGTCCAATTATGATTTGGAACACAAAGCCTTCCTCTAACAAAGGAAGAGTTGATATGTGAGCAACTCATTGCTTGGGGAAAAAAGTTTTCTTTTTAAATCCATCCATCCATCCATCCATTCACCTCTCTTTCTATCTGGCTCAAAGCCATAATGTTCTGATAAATGCCCGTGTACTACATCTACATCCAGGAGGCTGGGGTCTAACTGTGGCTCAGGGAGACGTACCAGTATAAATCACTAAGCCATAGCACCAATCTGTATTCCTGATGACGCATCCTCGGAGCAGCAGCTTATCAAGGTCCAGGAGGTGGTTTTTCCCCTTATAACTTAGTACTCCTGTGAATCTGCCCAGCTTGTTATTGGGAGCATCACACCTCACTTCTCCTGAAAAAAAAGAAGAAAAAAAAAAAAGAGTAAGAATGCTGGTTCTATAATTAAGCCTCTCCTTATAGGACAGAAGGAGGCTTACCATAAAAGAGGAAAGAATCTCCCTCTTTCAAAATATGTACACATCTTTTCCTATCCTCTCCCCATTTCAGATGCTGCCCATTTCTCACCAGCTCCCTTTAGAAAGGCAGGCAATGGTTTCTGGGCATCAGAGGAGAGTAATTCTGTTTGTGACATGGCTTATCCAGAGAGAGTCACAAATGAGAAAAACCCACATGGTAACTTATCACTATCAGTACTGCTAGGTCATATGAGCTCTAAATCTGAAAAAAAATTTAAACTACTTAACTTAAAGCAAACCTAAAAAACAAACAAAACCAACACCACAAAATCAAACCCAGTATTTTCAAAATGAAAATAATTTAACTTGTTCCTGATCAGTAAAGTAAAATACGCCCTTTGTAAATATGTATATAATGTTAAAAGGAGAAAGGAGAAGTAAAATTCACCAATTGCCTAGAGATAAGTGCTATTAATCTTTTGAAGTACATCCTTCAACATTTTTCTACTCATGTACTCATAAACATATGTTTCAAAAAACAAGTTTATGCTATATATACTAAGCACAGTCTATTGTAATATTTTTCCATTTATGACTATCCTATTCCTATATAATAATAGGCTAATATGCAAATTGACCAAACAGCATAATGACTGGTTGCTGTGATGCACACTGACCACCAGGGGGAGCTCCCACAGGGGGAGTGGTCAGTGGGCTCCCACAGGGGGAGCATCGCTCAGCTAGAAGCAGAGCTCATGGGTGGTGAGTGTAGTGGTGGTGGCAGGAGCCTCTGCCGCCTCCGCCTCCGTGGCAGTCAGACATCCCCCTGGACGGCGAGAGGACGCAGGCCGGACTAAGGAATGTCCCCAGTGCATGAATTTCGTGCTCCGGGCCTCTCGTGTTACAAATATTTTTCCATGTCAATAAATATCAACTTGAATATTGTTTTTTTTTTTAATTATATAAAATTCACTGTATGAATAAAAATACTTTATTGAACCATTCCTATACTGATAAAAATTTGGGCGGGCAAATCTATATGCTAACTTACCATCAAAGGCAGAAAGCTGATTCAAGTCATTTTCCATTTCACCAGTAACCTGGAGAGCCTGCTTCACTTTCAGGTTGGTTTCACTAGAGTAAAGCACACAGAACCAGCATACAGGACACATACACAGCAGCAGTAGAGGTCCAGTTTCTCCTACTTCTTCGTGGAGTTTTAGAACATAGATATTGCCAACAGAACTTGGGCTCTAGGTTTGAGCTGTAAGAGTCACTCCCACTATTCTCTCTCAATGACAGTATTTAGGTGAATTGGCTCTACAAGGAAGCCATTTTTAGCATACCCTCTCCCCTTTCACTGTAACACACCACAATTCTTTTAAACAAACCACAAAACCTTGCTGCATAGATGCTCTAGAGCAGCTGAAGAGACATCACAAAACAATGCGGAGGAGGCACCTGCTCCCTTCAAGAGTAAGGAGCATGCCTGATAAAAACCTACACATACCTCCAAGTAAACAAACTCATCACTTCATAAATATTTATAGAACTCACGAGGGGATCCCAATTAGCCATTTGCTGACATAGGAATGCACAGAGACAGAAGCAAAAATAGGAGCCATATTTAAAAAAGTTTGTGGGCACCAAGAGGAATAGTTGTGAGAATGCAGATCCATTCAAAACTCTATAGGGCAAGTTCTCTGAAGATGGCATCTATCATCCTAAGGCTTTAGCTTTTGTATGCTAATGAATTTCTACCTTAAATCCTTTATAGAACGTGGTGTTTTATCAGTAAATAGTTACCTCCATACTGGCCCCGGAAACTTTGGAACTCTATTCTGAAAATTTTAAGTTCTGTTAACCTCTTTCCTGTCACTCAGCATTATTAAATACAGGCAGAGAATATGAAGTTTATTTGCCCAGATTCTGTTGGCAGTGAATGCTCAGTTAATGCTATCAAGAGCTGAGTCTTAGACTTGAGGTCCCAAGAATCTGGCCTCCTGTCTTCTCTTAGCTGGATATTTCTAGCCTCTTTAGTACTTCCACCTGAGAATACAATTTATTCTTGGCATCATGTTCTCCCTCAATGAAAAATCACTCTAAGCTGCCTCAATCACCTTAATGGACCACTAGGGGGGAACACTTACCCATCCAGTTCTGCTGTTTCTATATATGTCATACTGTAGGGCTCACTGCTAGAGAGCAATAGTATATCAGCCTGTGGTCAGAAAAGTCAGAGAAAATAAGGAAAGCAGGAAGGCGAGCTTTTAACATTCCAATGTGACAAGAGCAGTTTCTTTGTCTAGGACCCATCACTGCTACCATATACACCTCTCCCAGAACTAGTCTCCCATTGTCTATAGCTATGGTAAGAGGGGACAAGAACAAGCTTATCACAGGAACTGTTGATCTCTGATGCAAAGTGAGGCAGCTGAGAGTCCCTAAAGCAGTGGCAGTGGAAATGTTAAAAGGGCGCCCCCCCCTTTATTTTATTGATTTTTTTTTACGGAGAGGGGTAAAGAGCTAGAAACATCGCTGAGAGAGAAACACCGACCAGCTGCCTCCTGCACACCCCCTATGTGCAGGGGGATGTGCCCTTGACTGGAATCGAAACTGGAACCTTTCAGTCCGCAGGCCGACGCTCTTCCACTGATCCAAACTGTCCCTTGTACACACTTCAGCCAAAAGAGAAAAAGCCCAAAGAGGTACTCACAGTGACAGGCTGATTATTTTCTAATTTTATTACGTCTCCCACTTGGATATTCATCCATTTTTTCTTCTCCATCCTAAAAGAAAATAACCCTTAAATGCCTGCTCTGAGAATTCTAAAGTTCTGTTTTGACAATAAAAAAAAAAAAAAAAAAATAAGCTGAGATGAACTCAAGGCTCAGAGGACATCCAAATCAGAATATGCATATGTATACATATGGCCCAATTTTTTCTTTAAATTCCGGGTTATATTTCTTTTTTTTTTCTTTTTTTTAATATATTTTATTGATTTTTTACAGAGTGGAGGAGAGAGGGATAGAGAGCTAGAAACGTCGATGAGAGAGAAACATCGACCAGCTGCCTCTTGCACACCCCCTACCGGGGATGTGCCCGCAACCAATGTACATGCCCTTGACCAGAATCGAACCCGGGACCCTTCAGTCTGCAGACCGACACTCTACCACTGAGCCAAACCGGTTTCGGCCTGGGTTATATTTCTTTAAATCTTATTCAAATCCAACTTTCTTTTAATCTTATAATATAAAACATAATCACTATGTTCCTACAAAATCATTATTTATATATCCTTTAATTTTTTTCCTTTGGTTTCAAGTGTCATCTCTATGCAGATAAATCTCAATACGTTTATTTATTTTGTTCCTAATTTTCAAATCAGGGCGATAGTACTAAACGGTAGTAGCTGTAAGCTTTGGAGAAAAACATTTGAGTGTATAATTTTGTCTTGATTTAAATTCACTTTTGTCAGTTCTCTGGCATTCTGTCTGCCATAATTTTCACCAGTAGAACACAGCATTACAGCATTCGGGCTTCTCCTGTAGATAAAAGCTTGCATATATTACTTTTTAAATGTATGTTCTTAAAATAAAAATTTTAAATGTTATAGCATGTATATTTATATTACATGTATTTAATGTATATTTGTATTATGTATTGTTATATATGTTTTGTTATACAAGGAGCTGTCAAACTATTACTACTTTGTTCCTGGATATTATAACAACCATGTGTCCCCGATTCAGGAGAGGGGGAGACAGTCCGTCTCAATTTAAAATACTCGGTCCTATTGTGCCATAAGTACATTTTTTAATTTCCAAGCATTTCATTCTAACTTTTGGTTTAGAAAATTTGGTCATATAGATAAAGAAGGCATTGCTTGGACTGCAGAGGAGCTCATTTATGTTCTGTTCTCTGTTTTATGTGAATGAAAAGAAATGTGCTCTGAAGAAGGCTACTTCTAGAATACAGACTGTTTCAACAACCAGCCTCACTGCCAATGTTCAGTTAATCAGACACTCCCTGGGAGACTAAGACCTCCTGGAGTTCCGTAACACTCTGGTACTTTTCCTAATACAAATACTTAGAGGTGCAAGATAAAATAAAGCCAACATTTTTTCCCAAGCAAGGCTATATTGAACACAAAGTGAGGAGCCAGGAAAAAAGACAGGATTGAAATTGAGGACAGGAACATGTTTTGAAGCTGTTGTTGCCCTGAGTCAGGGAGGGGATTGCCAGTCAGTATTAATAATCAGTGACTTGAGTTTTACGTTAGACCTCCAAAGGGCCAAGAGATTAAGCCTTAGGCTCTTGAGAGGCAGAGGGTTGGAACTAAGAACCCCTCATAAAGCCAAGACTCTGGGAAGAGCAACACCATTAGAAAAAAAGGTGGTCTAAAAAACCCAAATCATGGGCAAGAAAATTTGTCTATTTTACCCTGGAGGGTTGGAGCCAGGGAGTGGAGGACTCCCTGAGAATTTGTAAACTCATGAAGCACGGGGGAAGGCGATACCCATGAGTTACTTGGCAAAAGCAAACAAACAAACGAAAATAACCTTGGAGAGATACCACCTGAACTCAGGCCACTTAGAATTCCCATAAAGAAAGTTCCTCTAAGATGTGCTTTAACCAAAATTATTGAGAAATAAAAACAACAGAAATCGCAGCTTGCAAAACAGATAAACTTTTACAGAAGCAGCTCTGCTCAGACCCATGTGCTCTGAAGAAAGCTACTTCTGGAATATAGACTGTTTCAACACCAGCCTCACTGCCAAGGTTCAATTAATCAGACACTCATTGGGTGACTAAGTCAAGTCAGGGCCCTGCTTCCAAACTTCCACAACACCACTCTCTGACAAATTCTTCAATAATCTTACAAAACCCAAGTGCTCCAATTACTTCATTTGATCAGTAATTCCCTAGCCTTGCAAATTTCTAAAACACTCACTTTTGTCTTTTCTTTTTATCTCTATTTATGTTCTTCTAAAACGTTCTTTTAACTCTCTGCTGCCTTTTTTGGTGGTACTTAGGAATGGCTTCAATAGATCAAAACACTAGAGGAAATAATCCACCTTGAGTAACGATCAGCAACCACAATAAATGAAAGGATTAGATCTCCAAGAACTTCACACTATAGAATTATCTGATTAAAATTATAGTTACTGGGTGTTCTATAAGACCTATATGAAACAAGACTGGACATCAATCATGAACCTTCAGTGTTATATTTCTTTGTGACCTGCTTCTGCACACACTGGTCAGTTTCCCACTCATACAATCTCTATTTGTCGAATTCTTCCACATCTCTTAAAGCCAAGCACAAACATCACCTCCCAAAAGTCTTCCTTGATTCCTTTAACCAGCTATGATTGCTCATTTTTATTAATTCTTATAATAATTTTTGTACCTCTTATGACAGTTTTCATATTTTGCTTTATATAGGAATTATTCCTGCCTCTTTCCATTCCTTCCATAAGTGAATTGCTCAAATTTTGCTACATCCCACCCAATATAGACATTGACCTAACACTTGAGATAGCATTGACTACAGCAGTAGGGTCAATGCCAATACTTTCTTTAGATTGTTAACAAAAATATGGTCTGGCCAAAGGCTACAGAAAGAATGGTCAATAAGGCATATTAGAATCCACTGAGGTTCTAAAGAGAAATGTCTACATGCTGACCACAGCACTAATAATAACCACTTGCACATTAATAGCACATGTCACAATTTATCAATTTGTGTAATGTATATTATTTCATTTTTATTTTCATAAACATTCTCTAAGGTAGAGAATATGAGCTCTACTTTATAGATAAAAAAATATGAGGTCCGGAGAGGTCTGAGGTCATATGGTGTGTTCAAGGTATGGGAGACCTAGAAACAAATTGTTTTATGGCCAATCTGAGGTTCTTTTTACTGTCCGGAACTGCCTTTCCAAAGCCCCCAGCACATCAAGTGTTGACAAGGCCAACCCTCTCCCAGAGCTGGTCCTGCCAAAACTAGCTTTCCTAGAAGGACTTACCTGCCATTCATCAGGACCAGAACAGAACGGTTGTTGACCTGATTGTCGTTTTGGTGCCTTTTCTAAAATTATACAAAAAAAAAAAAAAAAAAAAAAAGTTCAGGTAATAGAATTGAGTAAATGGCATGTAGAAACTTAAT